AAAAAAGATCATTTCTTCCACCTGATTCAGCTGCACGATCAAACGATTTTATACCATTATCATATAAAGAACAAGAAGAAGAAGAAGAAGAAGAAGAACAACAACAACAACAACAAATAGATGATAATCAAAGAGAATTATCAATGAATCTACCACCGCAACAAGAATTATCGATAAATAATGATTATTCATCAGAATCTGATTTTATAACAGGTAAAATTCATTCGTTTATTAGAAATTGACAAATTCAGTTAGATAAATATTGATAGAAAGAATTAATATAACACTATGACAAAAAGTATCAGAGAATGAATGAAGCTTGTTATGATCAGATATTGATCTTTCTTATTATCAGTTATTTTATATAGGGTAAAAGAGTTTCTAAAAATTAGTATTGAAGTTTTATTTCTTGTAACATAACACAGTAGAGTTTTAGGTAGACATTTAATTTCATAATTTACTTAATTTTCATTAGGTAAACAGGAATGATATGTCGCTAGACTGTTGGAAGCATCCATTGGTATTAATTATCTTTTTTATTAAATTCGAGTATAAATACTCTAGATTTCATATTAATAATTTGATATATTTTTTTTTGTAAGAATTACTTTTTGACTCTTAAATATATATAGAGAGAGGATTGAGAAATTTATGCAAAGTCTATTTCAAATCAATTTATATTCTTTAAAAAATAGTTACAAATAGTTACAATTTCTTTTAGAGAAATAAAGTCCTGATATCTGAGTTTGTCTCCTAAGATGTCTGTCTTTATACTATATCAAAATCAAATGATCTGAAATTTAATAGATTCGATTCCAGCTTGTTGATTAATCCTATTATTTCTTATTTTGATACCTTTAACTAAGGGTAATCACCAATTTTTTGGTCATTTGTGGTATTCGAAGAGAAAGAATGAAGAATACCCCTGTCTTTCGTCTACCTTGCAGTATGCGGCACGGCTAAGCAGCAGATTCAATAGCTCGATATCTTTTCTAGAATTAATGCTAGCTATAGCTCTGGACAAAAGATCGTCTTGATACAAAATCCTTGAACTCAACTGCTCTAGCTCTCCATACACATTAACTAACTACATACTAACTACAAGAGCAGGTATACGTCACAACGCAGTCAGTATCTTATCGAATAGATGATTCGGGGCTCATAGCTGTTAGTGACTTGTACAGGGTTATTTCATATAAGGTAGTACCGAGGTTTGTGCACAGCAGCTTGCAGAAACATGTCGATCAACATAGTCATCTAGTAATGGCGGCTCATACTCGAAGCAAGTAGCACTGATCCGCCTGAAATGTTCATCATAGATCGAGCACTTAAAATAAAGAGATACAAATTGGGGGGAAACAGTTTAAACAAGGTGTCCGTAGTCTTTTTCCAAGAAAAATTTGATTTTTCAGAGGACCACATCGAGTTCTCTTACAAACTTTCATTTAACTCTGTCTGATCGGGCTGAAACTGTTATCAGAGATAGTTGGAAGCATTCTACAAAGATGAAGCCAGTTGTTATCGTTCGTTATCTTCCTGTTCGGATTTATAAGGTTCCGGACACTAATACGTTGTTTTTTCGATTCGAAATTTTACGTATTTCTTTCATAAAAGAAAAATGGCAAGAGTATTGAAACACCTCAAAAAATACCTCTGAAATAATTCAAAACAACATTCAGTCAGATCAGACAATTCATTTTAAATGGTTTTTCTTGTCCTTGTGTCGCCTTATTTTAGATAGTCTATTTGTGATAATAACCTCAGACGAATCCATTGCATCCTCTTCGAGAACTAGAAATGATCAAAAAACAAGTAGACGTAGCCTTACATTTGGATAGTCGAACGTTAAACAGAACCGTGCATAAAGATAAGGATATGTCACCTTGTCCTTTCATAATTGATACAATAAGAGATAACAATAAAGATTTAAATTTGTGTCATCGACATAAAAATACAATAGATATTTGTGTCAAATTAAATTTGTTGTTTTTTTCTTAGATTCACCATTTATTGGATACAATAATTCAATTAGTCCCTTATTATCTACATCAGCTGGCTCACAATCCTCTCTACAAAGACTTGATTTAGTTCGTTCATTAGCTACATCGAATGGTCTTCTTGATGAATTAATATCAATATTTGATACAGTAGCATTTTCATCTGAAGAACTTCAAATAATTCTAAATAAACTTGCTACGAAAAGTATATCAGATAAACATGATTTACAACGTTTAATATCAACAACGAAACATGATAAAACATTTGAACGTATTCTTGATGAAACGTATCGTAGTCAAGCAAAAATTCTTGCGATTGAATTACAGGCAGAAAAAAATCGTGTACTTGAATTAACTAGATCTAATGCCGATATGGAAAATACAATACGACAATTACAACAACAGCAACAACAACAACCGAATAATATACTTCAATATGAGCAAATGATTTATCCATATCAAATGCAACTTCGAAGAATAGCAGATGAAAATGCACGATTACAACATCAATTGCATGCGTATTCAATGATGCCTGCAACAATTAATGAACTTAAACAACAGCAACATATTCTTAATGAACAATTAAGACAAATGACTATTAGAAATAGTGCTCTAGAAAATGAAGCTGCTGAAAGTGAACGAGCAAGTAAACATGCAGCGGAAATTTATAAAAAAGGTAAGTGACTATTTCATTTATCCAATTGACTATTTTCTTCAATATGATTTATTTTTGTAGCTGATACTCAAAAACAAGAAAAAATAGAACAAATGATAGCTGATATCAATAAATATAAAAAATTAGATAAAGAATTAACAAGTCTTCGTCAAAAACATAATGAACTTGATAAAAATTTGAATGCTAAAATTAATGATATAGCTCATCAACGTGATGAATTACTAGCACACTGTGATCAATTAAAAGAACAAGTTCAAGAATATGAACAATTAGAAACAAAATATGACAAACTGATTCAAAGTCAGCCAAATAATCCAACAAATGAAATAAAACAAGAAATAAATGATCTAAAAACTAAAAACGATCAATTACGACAACGTAATTGGAAAATTATGGAAGAATTAAATAAATTATTGGATGAACAACAAAAAACTCAAAATACAAAATCATCTTAAATGGTTGTACTTATTCTTTTCGATATAAAAAGGTGCACTTTTTCTTTTGTTATTGCTTTTGTTTGCGAATATAATAACGTTTTATTTTTTCTTATCACAGTCTTACAATCATACAAGTTTTTTTTGTTTCTTATTTTTCCTTTTCAAAAGAAGACCTTGGCTTGTCACTATTGCTCTTGTTTATTTTTTTTTGCACAATAATACGTGTTTATACAGCGCAGAAGTCCGGATTATGCATCGATTGTTTTGAGTATCTCTTTTTGCTGTTTTTACGAATTATTTGTACTAATATTTGCTTATTATTTGAATAAAAATGATTCTGTGTTTTATTATAATCTTTATTCATGTATTTCATTGCAAATGTAAGATGTCTAACCATAAGTGATTCATTAAGCGATGAACTTAATTAATGACTTCATTATATGAAATTGAAATCCTTAAAAATACCTGTTCTTTCTTAAATGTACTATAAAACTCCTACAATCGTTAGTAGTTTCAAAGGTTGTCTCTCTTCATAAAAATAAAGTATTACTTTATGTTCATCATACATGAAATCTTATTGAAATGCGTGGAAGCAATTATTATTATGTCAGTCATATTTCACAATTTCCTTAGGGACAAGTATTTTTTTATGTAAAACAAAGAAAATATGCTTATCAGACAAAACTAAAAGTGAAACTTATTCAAAATGAATACATAATAATAAACACGTTTACACTCACAAAAGTAGAACTAAATAGGAATAGTGAATGAAGCATTTTTTCTACATTCTAATTTACAAGAGCAATGTTACAAAAATAACTCTGTAAATACATTTGCTATTTAGTCTAGTCATATAGAAAAAAACAGATGACGGATCTGATTAATGTATCACACAAAAATAGAAACTTATTCTTATTAAAATATTACAAAAGAAGAAAACAAAATATTGTTTATTGAAGAAAATTGGTCATGTTTCATGGTTATCAACATATAAACATGCAAAGAGATAATTAAAGTATCTAATAATTGATAAGACTAAGGAATCGTCAATGAATATTTTTTGCATCAAAACTCAATGAAATTTATTATTCGAGTCATGTCATGAATGAATAATGCATACATAGATGAGCCTTCTATGATTCTATGACAAAAGAAATATCCCACTACCAAAGCTATTCTGTCACACACTCAAGCAAGACATAATTTATATCAATAGTAATCGACCAATTTATATTTATTTCTTTTATTTTTATTCTATGTGACTTTACTTTTAAGAAATACAAACGTAGAAAATAAACATATTGGTTCAATCATATCGGTAATCTTGGTTTTATAATTCTTTTATAAGAGTATTGACTTATTAGATTTTCTGTCATTATTTCATTCAAAATTTTGGTACAATTATAAAATACGTTATAATAAAATTTTATAGAATTATTAATAGATTTGTTAATAATAATATGACTAGAAAACAAAAAATAAATATTTCTAATGAATATGTTTCTCATTCAATTGCTTTGCAGTATTTTTTAGGTCAACCGAGATTCTTTGTATCTGTTAACATAATTAATAAAAATCTCTAAGGAATGACAATTTATTGTTGAAATATAGTTTCAGAATAATCATACGTTGTGCTATGCACTCACATGTTCATACTATGTGTAAATATTTATTTTTATTCTATTTTTACATATCCAATCTTTAAAATTTCACACAACACTATCAATTATAAAATTTCTATTTCAAACGCTTTCATTTATTATAGATTTCATTGAGTCTTTCTACAATACCGTTGTTTTTAGTTTGAAAGATTCTTTTATTTCATAGAAGAAAAACACATCGATATTCAATAAAACCTATTACTCTCATGCATACAACGTTAATATTAATTTATTCTTCTGCGAGTACAATTATTTTATCATCATATTGAAATATAATAGGTACATCTTTATCAGGATTTAAAACGATTCCATAAAATTTATTTGAATCTTGAGCATATTTCATTTGCCTATACCCAATAGCTAGTGTTTGTTGTTTAAGTGATGCTTCAAGTATTCGATGAAATGGTATAGCACAATCTAATTTAGTAAATGATGAAACTGGTTTTAAATAAATTTCTACACCTTCAGCTGTTAATAAAACATCAAATACTTTTGTTAAATTTTTATTTTCAGATATTTGAGCTATATATTTTGAAAGTATATTTGGACTAACAATAAAATCATCTGCACGTGTTATTTCAGCTAATTCACGATTTCGTATATCAAACATTTCTGTAACAATATTAAATGTTTTTTGGCGAAAATTTTTATCAATCATATTACGTAAGTGTAATAAACATATAAGACATTCAGCATCAGCTGCTTCTGAAGATGATGTTTCTAGTTGATTTCGTTCATTATTAATATCATTAGCAAGAAGAATAACATCATGATAATTATATCTAAAAGGTAAGAGCAAATCAAGATGTTCTTTTTTTTTTTTTTTATGTTTTAATACAAGATTTTTCATATTTACAAATTAAGTTTTTCTAAATCAAGTCGATTTGTAATATCACCAGAATGTAAATATAATTTTTGTCTTTTTAATTCATTAACTAATTGTTCGGTTATAATTTTTTTTGCTTTATCAGTATTTGTCAAAATATGTAATTCACTTCCTTCTGATACATAATTATCTAATTGTTTTGCAATTAATGATGCTTTAGAATTCCATCCAAGTATAATATTTTTTTCAATATATATTTGTTTTTTATTAAACATTGCTATTGATGAAATATCTGTCTCATATAACATTGCATATGATGAATAATTTAATGATAAATTAATTGCATCATCATCTTCAGCAATAACAATTATTTGGTCATTTTGATGAATAATTGTATTAATCGATGGACATATTTTTATTGTTTCATCAGCAAACATTAAACCAATAACGGAACTAGTACGATAGAGAAATAAAGCATCTTTAAACGTTTTACCAACTAATAAAGGTTCATATTTAAAATAAATTTCATCATATTTAAATGAAAGTAACATTGATAAAATAATTGATAAACCTGATTGTCGACCACTTTGTGCTATTATACGTGCAATTATTTCATCAGCATGAACAAATACAACCTCGTCAGCACCTGTATATAAGATATTTTAATTTTAAAATTCTATTTTTTCTTTTTTTGTTGTCATCAAAATTCTCACCTGCAATACGTGCTACTTCAATATTATTTCGTTCTTTTATTTCAGCAACAATATGAAATTTTAATTTTGTTCTTTGAGGATTATTTGTTATAGCTAATATGGTTTTTATAACACTTACATCAGGATTATCATTTAATGGTGCTAGTATAATTATTGATCGAGCATTATTTGGTGATAAAATATTTAAATCATGTATTGACATTGGATCACCATTACGACAAATAATTTTTGTGTTTTTATTTCCATCAATTTTTTGTGAGATTATTTCTTGCATTTCAATACGATCAATTGGAGCTAAAATTACAATTGATGGATTATGTTGATTTTCATTAGCTATAACTAATTCATTAATTATATCAAAGATTTTAGATGACCAACCAAGTATAACTATTTATTTCATGAAAAATAAAATAATAATAAAGAATTTTTATAGAAAATCTTTTTACTTGTATGGTTTGTTTCAACAACTTTGGTTCGTCCTTTACGTAATTCAGCTAGTTTTCCTTCCATACCTGTTGTTAATGCACCGATTAATGTTGAAATAATGAAGATTCCACACATAGTAACTGTTGCTGAAATTAACCGATGAATTCCACCGGTGTCTTCTGCTGCAGAACCAGGATCTATAAAAATTTTCATAATATTCAAGTTTCGATTTAAAAATATGAATCAACCTTACCGAGTGTACGCATAAAGGTTTCCCATAATGATTGGGAATATGTGTTTGTTTCTCCACTCCATAAATACAGTGATGAAAAAATAAGAATTAAACAAATAGAAATTAAAGCAAGAACAGGAATAATAACAACAGGACCTGCTGCAAATATATTATCTGATTTATATTTAAGCCACGCACGAAAATAAGATGATTGATAAAGTTTTCGTTTGTTTTTACAAGATGAACATAGAGAAGTTATATGACTTTTATTCTTTGCTTTCATTGATGAAACACGACAAATATTTTTCAATTTATTCTAATAATGAAAGCAAAGTGTTTGTGACAAATGAGTTATATCTGAGTATGACAACAACAACAAAAATAGATTCATTCGATATTTCTGGACCATTAGAACAAATATTTGCATTAATGACATTTAAAATTCTATCTCGACTTCATATGGGGTAATATTTAACAATTTTATCTTTTCTAGAGAATAATTTATCTCATTATATACAACAAATAATAAAAATTAAAATATGAATATCGAATAAATTCAACTAAAATTCAATGCTGTCACAGATGATTAAAGATAACAATTCATAATTTTTTTTCTCATTAAATCAAATTGCTTGTAGCATTCCTTGAGAGAAATACATTTAGATAGAGTTACACAGTAAAAGAAGACGTCTAATACAAATAAAACATCGTTGGTATCTAAATTTGTTGTTGCGATTCTCAGCAATGTATTTTAGACTTCATGAAGAAAATAAATATTCTACATTCCTCATCTACTATAAATTGAATTCTTTAACAAAAAAGACATAATTGTCTGAATTATTTTCTTTTATCTATATATGAAACAATATTATTCTTGACGGTTAAAAACATTTATATTAATAGAGCGATGACTATAGTTGTCAAGAACAAGCTTTCTATTTTTGCAATAACAATAAATCACAGTTCATTTGCACATAAAAGCCTTTAATTCATAGGTATTTTAAATTTTGGTCATTCTTATGCAACATAAGTGTAAATTATTATACACTACCGCCTACATTATATAAAAAAACAGAAACGTATGTTCCTTGCACCGGAAATCATCTACATATGTCCCTGTATTTACATGAGATATATTTTATCAAGATTTCTATTCCTATCTATTTAATTATTTATTCAACACTGCTATTAGTACTCTTACTATGACAGACATTTTCTTTAGATATAAAGAATAGAACGTGATTTCTTTTTTTCTAGATGACACACCGTATTTTACACACACACAAATCAGTGTTCGTGTGAATAACTCTTTAAAAATTGTTTCTATTCGATTCTATGACTTTTAAAAGAAGTCTTCCTTTCTTTACAATTAACTAATTGTTATTTCATCGATTTTTATTCGACGTTGCAATACATTTATATAAACGTGTATGAAAGCATTGTTTCCGGTGGTTTATATGTTTGTGTGAGTATGAAGTGGAATGAAGAGAAGAGAGCTCACATCATCTTCAAGTAGAAAAAAATAGATGAAACAGGAGATGTCGACCATAAAAAAAATCATTGAAACAGTATGACTTTTTGTTTGTATCCATCTGACTGATTTTATTTTCCTCATATGTTTTTTGTATTTAATTCTATTTTTAGAAACAGAATCAAATGAATGTACGGTCAAAGTTTAGAAAAGCTAAAGAAGCTCTTGCAAAGTTTGTACTCGTTTGTAAAATAATCATGATTGGATCATAGTTTCTTTTTAAATGCGTAAGCAATGGCATTACTATTATTCTTTATGTTGTTTAAGTAAAGTATTTATGTTCAATTAACGAGAGCGGATATTAAGATTAGTCAGTTGTTTCCGTTATTTTATTTATTAAATACTCATTTTTCATGAGTCTTTTTGTTTTTTGTTTTTCTTTCTTGTTCGAATTATAATGAAGTTTGAAAATTCTAAAAAGTAGAAGAGATTGGATTTTAGAAAACATAATTCTTATTTTTTTTTTTCTTCGTCTTAGATTTTATAAAGAAAGAAAACTATATCGTAAAGGAAATAATCTTGTCTTGTAATGGTTATTAATACTACAAATACATTTCTGAACTCAAAAATCAAATTGAAAAAATCCCAAAAGATGTATATTAACTAAAATAAACCGTTATTAGTCATCAACATCTCCCCTATTCTGCAGTTTTTTCAGTATATTATGAAGTTCATTGGAAGGTCAAATATATGAAGAAATCAATTTTATCAAGCACAACACAGTCACGCTATAAAATTTAGATGCCCTTTTAAGATTTTAATAACGGAAATAAATGCACATTAAAGTTCAGGTAATTTAGAGTATAATAATTATCAACGATGATGTATATATATATATATTTAGTTTTTTTTAATGATTTATCATAAGTATCTAACAAAGAAGCTATTACTCTATCATTAACTATTTTCTGTTTATTTTCTGTATGTTTTAATTGAGCGAAAAAAAGTTATAGATAAGAGCTATTTTTCTTCCGCACTTTTTTCCTTTTCTTTCGAGTTCTTCTTTATGTAAAGAAAAACAGGTAGCACTAATAGACTATTTGATCTTCCTTTCTTTCATTTTCTTTTTCTTTTTTTTTATCTAACTTCCTGTATTATGATAAGTTGATACATTATACTAACTTTCTTTAAACAAAAAAGACATTGTTAACTATTGTTTTATATTATATACATAAATAAGGTAAGTAAATCATGACAATCGAATAGATAAAATAAATATGAACTAGTAAAGATAATTGTACATTATTTACAAAAAAAAATGAAAGATTAGTATGTTCTTACGTGGATGTCTTCGTGCATGTTAATTAATACCGTTTGTCACATGTGCTACTTTTTGTCTATTCTTTTTTTCGCCTACTGAAATTTCTTTTTTTGTATAATTTAACAAGTATATGCGTGTCTGTCACGTTTGATAATCTTTTAATAAGCTGACAATCTAGAAAACTAGCGAAGAAGAAAAAATTAACAAGATTGATCCTATTTTAGATAAGTGACCGTCGTTTTATTCTTCTTTATTCATTATTGAAAAGATAAAACATGTCGAATAAAGCTTCATTACAAGGTTCATCATCAGTCAGTTCAGTTTTATTTCATATGTCATCATCTGTTGTAGCTCGTCCACGTTCCTTCTTTTCACAATTAATCATGACCATCACTGTTTATGCTCTTCTCATTGGATTTCTACCATGTATATCATGTTCACCTACACCATTATCAAATCCAATCGAAAATAACAATAATAATAATAATAATAATAATAACAAAATTACTTATGATTCGAATGAATTGATGCATGATCTAAATGATTATCATACTGGTTTGCAACAAGATTCATCTTCATTATCATCCTCCGTCCATGAACAACCGTTTTCAGGATCATCATCATTATGGTATGGTCAACCACGAACACAGGCTAATCAATTTTTAATGTCGCATGTCAATGACAACGACATTGTGGTACCCAAATGGTTTACACAACTTAACAACAATAATGATGATGATATTGATGATTATTATCCATCAGATATATCGGTCAACAAACGATATTCATTTTATAATCCCGGAGGATATCCAAATTTAAAAAAGCGTAAACAAGTAACAAAACCTCCTATGGAAGTTATGAATGAAATTGTCAATTCAATATATCTTAAACGTTAAAAAAATAATAGAAAAAAAAAAATTTTTTTCAAAAAGAATAATATTGATTTTTAAAGAAGCTATTGGCTTCTATTGTATCCTTGCATTAATAAATAAATTGACAAAATAAAAACTTATCTCTTTAATATTAATGAATATAATGTTTTCTGAAAAATGAATTGTTGATACATTAAACAAAAGGAAAATATTCAATAATTGCACTACTATATGTCATGGAAAACTCGAAACAGGAATGTTAGTATTAGGCATTCGATAGTTATTTTTAACATGTCTTGACATCAGACAATGAACATATTCTTTACATAATTAGATATAGTATTTCTTTAAGCTCAGCATAAATTATTAAAGTTTTGGTTTATAATAAAAGCAGCTTCAACATTTTTCGTATTTTATATCATAAACTATCTTCTCATATTGATGGTAGTATTAATATATTTTAACATCGTTTCTCTTATCCAATGTTCAAAATAGTACTTAGCGTTCAAAAAAATTTCTTTTGTAATATTAGAACTATGAAACTTGATCTGATTGGCATTTTTTAAAATAGAATAAAACATTGATTTTGTACAACTTAATATCTAGCATTCAACTAATTAGTGAGTCAGTAATCATGGTAAAATCCTAGTATCAATTATATATCGAAAATCGTCAACGTTTCACAATCCGATATCAACCAATCCCGTTTTTATTTGATTTCTGTATCTAATGTTTGTGGGACTATGCGCAATTTAGGTACGTAGCCAGCTAAATTTTAATTAACTTGAGAGACGGCATGCAATAATCGAAATTACTATTAATTATTACGATGCTAATCATTCATCACAAAGCACTTAAGCACAATTCATCATATAGTCAATAAGTAATTCAAAAAAATAATTAAAATTTGTTTCTTTTCATGTTAACCTAAGATCATTAAAACATCTGAATGTATGTGTAAAATACAATAAATACTTTTCTTTTGTTTTATTATGAACAATTACTAAATCCTTTTCATTAGGAATAAAAGCGAACTAATCTAATTCCCTAACAAAATCTATTAAAAGCTTCTTTTATAAGAAAATTAATTACTAGATATGTGTCGATGAGGACTTCAGGGAAAAGCGCATCTCTAACTTGATAAAAAATATTCACTTTTCTCTCACAAGAGATTTATGTTTTTATCGACAAAAAAAATCAACGGAGGTAAAAAAAAGAATCGACAAAACGTGGTTTAACATAAAAAATGGATTATGTACTAATTCATTATTTAGAAAAAAAATTATCTTGCATTTTTCTCTACTTTTTTGCCTGTCAAATCCTTTGCTGATTACAATTAGTATTATATAATGAGTTGACATTTATGTTATGTTGATGAGTGACATCTATGTCATATATCATTATAAAAAATTTGATAAAACTTTTCAATTATATTTTAATGAAATGAGATCAAAAGAAAAAAACGTTAAAAGAACTTTATTAATCTTATATTATATTATCGTAAATACTTTTGATACTATCAATATTTATATTCTATGATTCGTTTGAATGTATTCCATATAATACATATATAATGTAAATAATAGTTCCTCCTCATAAATATACATTCAATTTTGAAA